TCCACCCGAGCACCTAGTCGGTTTGGACCCCTTTTCTTTTGATTTGACTAATCATTTTCTTCTGATGTAGGTGATGATGGTAATAATAACGATGGGACACGAACTAACGTCACCTGCTCTCAGGTGACGTCTCCTTAGGTCACGCATACCGAGGAGTTATGAGGGTCGCCTGCCTCGATCTGACCTGACAGCGCCTGGTTGAAGCAGACCAAAACGCCAACCGAGGCACGTCGCCATCCTGCAGGAGCCTGGTCCTTCACGCAACGCCAATGTCGATGTCAGACGTTATCCAAGGTATGACTTTGCTCCCTGCAAGCGGGCACATCAGGAAACGGTGACCTTCCCTATAAAAACTCTCGCGTTCGGAATGAAGAGTAGAGGAGAAAAAAATAAGAAAAACCCCATGAAACTATCAATTGACTTGATCGTTGGAGGGGTCGAGCCGAGCTCTCTCGACCCGACCTGTGTGCAGGGACGAAGATGGAGTGCCTCCCATCGAAGGCCCAGGCGAGGGGTCCCCTCCCGGAGAAAACAGTGACCCCGTCGCGATCGGACCACCGCGGTCGGCTACCTCAACAGTCTCAAGGGTCGTTCAGGAAGATCTCCAATCATTCGGATCCGAACCCAACCGTATTGGCCCTGAGGCCACGACGTAAATATATTGACCCTAACGGTAGCGATATCATCTCATGGTGGCATTGATTGACAGGGTTAGGGAGTCGTCGGTTGCCCTAGCCCAAGTGCCAAAGTAGTGGGATGACTTAGCAAGAAAAGCCGCCTAGAGGGATTGCGTGGCTGATGAGACCGAGCGGCTCCAAGCCAGAAGGCGGGCTTAGAGAAGGAGCTGGAGGTGGAGCATCGTAGATTGGCAGTGCTTTTAAGCTGACTGGACATCAAAACGTAGTTGACTACGGTGAGGGCCAACGACCACTACTTTTGCAATATGTTGCCCAAGTCAGACACACATATCACCACACTCTGCATGAGAATACCTTGCTACATGAGGTGGTAGAAGAGTTCTCAACCAAGGACGCTTTACACCTAGAATATGAGGCTAGGGAGGTGACCAAGTACAAGGTGTTGAAGGGGGTACAACAAGGGTTTAACCCGTATCTCCTTTAATGCTTCGTTCTTTATTTTAATTGCATATTACTCGATTACATTATTTAATCAGAATACTTTTTATTTACTTTTATTCTAACAATCTCATGATTCATTAAATCTCATATGTGGGATAACAACGATGTAAAATGTCAAAAGATAAGGCTTTTGGGGTAGTGTATAGGGCTAGTTCATACCTAGTTCGTAGAAGTATCACGTGAATACTTATGGGGGTTCTGGGCTATGATAAATTATTTTGAATATTTTGTTATATGATTATTCAGCGCTTACAAATATATCTTTATATTTTGTATTATTTATCAAGTGTTTTTTTAAATGTTTGCTTATGAAATCTTGAGTATAAGGTAAACGAATATAGAGACATAGGAAAGAAGATTTATGTACAACATACCACACATGTTGAGCGAGGTACCTCAAGTTAAAAGCTCTATAAATCTTAATACAAAGAAGTATGTGACAAAAAGAATGAAAAATGTGGTAAAATCCTAAAGGTATTACCAAATGCTATCAGAGACTTACTCCCCTTAGGGTAAAATTTTGCTCTTTTTGGATAATACTTTATTCATTCCAAAAATTCCAGAAACTCGATGATAATGAGAAAGTGAATCATAGTAGCTAACTTAATGTAATGAGTACAACATTTCAAATGCTTCAGAAGTGTGAGTAAAGAGCAAAAAAGAATAGTAATTAACTTAATACATGAAGTATAACTCTTGATGATGTCAGTAAAGTCATGTAACATCGTCCTTCTCAACTTTTGTGAGAATAAGTGAAGTCGAGTACCTCAATTCTCTTAGTTATCTGATAAAGAAACTCTGCACTTATTCGAAGGCCATTCGAAGAGACTTAGTGACAAACAACAATATCAATTGTGCGGAAGGTAACTTGTTCATTTCATTTTCTAACAAAGTGATAGTAAAAAAACCTCGGTTTAGGGGTGAATTAGTGCTTTCGTAAAAACCTCGGTTTAGAAAACTTTCGTTCGATAAAGCCCGTATCGAAAATGAATTTAACTTGAAATGTTCATAAGAGTAGTGAGTAAGTAAATTAGTTTGTAATGTCAATGAAAAGCATAAAGTAAATGTAAACCAGATTTATAGTGGTTCAGTTGTCCCGACCTACGTCCACTCCCGATTCCTCTTCACTCGAGGCTACCGACTTTTACTACCGATCTTCTTTCAACGAGCGAAAATCAACTACCCTCTTACAACTATTTCTTCGTTTCACAAGCTTAGGAGAGAACCTTTACACTTCTCTCTTTTACGCTTAGACCTCACTTCTCACTTTAGAATAACTTCTAAACATAAGGAGGAAGTGAGAGATTACAACTCTTTTTGCACAAGAATTATTTCTCATTTTCTACTCTATTTCTTGTTTCCCCAAGCAGGAATTAGTGAGATATTTATAGACCCTAAATGACTTAAAAAATTAGAGTCAAAATTTAAATCATCGGGTTTTCGGGGTGCTAGATGGTACTATTGTCTAACATTGGCAGTACCACCATCGGGTCATTCGAAAGAAGTACATTTTATACTTTTCCAGTTCACAAGCGGTGCCATCACTTGACCTAACTTTGGGTGACTAAATGAGCCTCTCAATGAGCCAAACTTAGCCCTAGATCAGGCCCAATGGGCCCCTAATTGAGTTAGCATGATTACACCCAAAATCGACTCAATTACGACCTAACCTACTTCGATCAAGACACGACCAATTACAACACTAATCTTATGTTGTCTGACATGTCATTAGTTCATCTAGCGCTTCGTCTGAACCTTCGGTGTATTGCCCGACCATCGGCATGTTGACCTCCCGCAATATCTGATCTCCTTTGCGCGATGTCCGATCCTTCTAGCCCGATGTTCGAACTCATGGCACAAAGTCCTTATGCTAGCACGTCGACTAATCCTCCGGACCGACATCTAATCTTCTGACATGATGCTCTATGGCTCAACATCTTATTCTCCTGCTTCAATCGATTTATCTTTCCATGATCGAAGTTAATTATGAGATTCAACAACATTGACCATCAAATATTTACTGAAATATCTATTTGTGGGATCTCAAGTATAATGCTTCTTATAACTCAAATTCTCTTTCGTACATTTTTAGAGGACCTTAAGAAGTTATCGAGAGATTAATTTTTTAATACACAAATATATCATATGGCTTAGATAAAATCAACAAATTGTCAATACTACATCAAAGTGTCGATATGCAGCACAGATGATGCTAAGGGATCGACCAAGCCATCATCCCTATATCAGGTGTTTATAAGTATACATCAATCATGCACGCCTAAAAAAGTTCAAATAATAAAAATTGACCATTTTCTAGTATGAAAAATCATCGTTTAACACATTGGCACAATCATATATAATGTTGGTCGGTAGGTTTGATTTTACAAGTCCATCGACTAACCCTGGCCGATAGTGAATTTAATTTTACACACAATGATTTTAATTTTACAACTCTAATAAGAATACATGTATGCCAACATTTGACTATTGTTGATTCTCCTTAAAATCCTCAATTGGTTCCTAATATTAAGAAAATTTTGTATACTTTATATTATTTAGATTTTTTCGATCTATTTTATTTCTAACTAGATAACGGTAGGAGAAATATATTGGGCAATTAATCAAGAAAAACCACCCATAATTGGTTTTTACTTGAGAGTGGTAATCTTTTTGATTTAAAATATCAAAAATCCCTTGAACTTAGTTCATTGTACCATAATTGAAATGAATCAAACCATTCATCTTTCATCAAATTAAACTTACTTAACAAAATCTTAAAACAAAAAAAAAACCAATATAGCAACTATTTGTAACATAGTGAAAGTTTGATGTGAGTTTCACAAAGCTTATGGTATTACACTATAAAGTCACTGAAATCATCAAATTTTGAAATGTATTCATTCGATTGTCGAAGACGAATATGAGTTGGATAAATTTTATTATGTTGCATTCGTAATTGAACTCTATTGTACTTGATTGTAGAATCAAGTTTGATGCAATCTTAATTTTATAATATTATATAACTTAGTTAATGTATAATATTAATGAAATCTTTTAACATCATAAAACTTTATCTTTTTAATTTTTATATGATTTTAGGAGTTTCATAAGTCAAATTTGATATTTTTTCATGTTGACTCTATAAAGTTTGTTCAATTCATCTTAATATTTTAATTTCATTATTTTTAGATAATTTCAAGAAATTATAAATTGAATTTGAGTAGATGCATATTCAAGCCATATAAATAATGCAAT